TGTTTAGGCAGGTTGCATCCTCAAGTGGTGAAGGGTGGTTTTCATGGTCTTCGGACCTTTCACCACTTCAGGACCATTCAAGATTTTCAGACTGCCCGAAACCCTCACTTGACCACTTCAGGACACCCTTCACCACTTCAGGATGCAGCCTGCCTAAACAGGTGGTTTTCAGGGTCTTCGGACCTTTCACCACTTCAGGACCATTCAGGATTTTCGGACTGCCGAAAACTTGCACTTCAGAATTTTCATTCCTGAATTTTCAACTACCCGATAACCGCTTGTGATTAAAAGGGGTGCACGACACCTTAACGTATCGCTAAAAGGGTTGCAAAAAAATTTAATGTGCAGTCGTCGTCGTCGTTGTTGCGATTCCCGATGCCCAAACCTTTTCGCTAAAAGGGGTCGACAACAGGTCTGCCATGGGTGAGCGAATCCAGACGCAATCTCATATGATGCAGGAATGACCGTTAACAAGGAGTAATAACCGCCGGCACCTTTACCGTGAGTTTTCACTCGCCTTTATGTTACGTCGGATGCTAGACCTTGAAAATATGTAACACCTTACCCCTGTTTTGTAGCATAATATTAAGTTTTGACGTTGAGGATTTTTGCCCGGCAAAAAAACTTGTAGCGTACTATAATTAAGTTCGCCCGACAAAGAACAAAATGCAATATCAAGGGGATGAAAAGTTTCATCAGGTGGCATGCAAGAAAACATACTCATTTTTCAAATGCCACTCACCTCGAAATTAGCCAAAAGGGCAGAATGTGATTTACTGTGGGGGCGTGGGGCGCGGGGCGGGGGGGTTGAGGCGGAGTGTCAGTAGGTGTTATTGGCCCTGAAACTGTTCCCCACATCTCGAAAATAGCCAAAAGGGGAGAATGTGACTTCCACGGGGTTAGGATGTGGTCCACTCACCTCGAAAATAGCCAAAAGGGGAGAATGTGACTTTCAGGGGTAAGGGTGTTGGGGTAGGGGGTGTGACTTCCAATGGGTAAGGGTGCTGGGGGAGGTGGTGGTGGAGGGGAGGGTCAGCAAGTGTCATAGGCCCTGTTACAAGTTGCAGGTTGACGGGAGCACTCAAACTAACCTAGAGTTTATTCTGAGTTGCAGAGCGGCTGCTCCAAAAGGCTACCTCGAAAATAGATAACAAGGGAGAAATTCGATGACACGGTGATTTTAAGGGGGTTGGTCACCGTTGGTGTGCTGGGGTGGTTAGGGTTTTGGGGGGGTTGGGGGCACTCGCGATTAACAATCACCTGAAATTTCAGAATGAAAGATTCTGAAGTGGTCTGAAACTGCTGAAATAGCTTGAAGACACTTCAGGTCGTTTAAGAAGTTTCGGGTGGTTTGAAGGACAAGTTTTATGTTGTTGTTTTTTTTTGTTCCTGCCTGTTTTTCAGCCACTTCAGTTCATTTCAAGAATTTCAGGTGGAGACCTAAAACCGCTGAAGTAGCTGAAGCTTCTGAATGTTGTTTCAGGTACCCTCATCCAAATGGTTGGATGGGGGTACCTAAAACCCCTTTCAGAAGCTTCAGCCACTTCAGGTCATTTCAAGAATATCAGGTGGGGACCTGAAACCGCTGAAGTGGCTGAAGTTTCAGAAAGGGGTTTCAAGTACCCCCATCCAAATGGTTGGATGGGGGTACCTGAAACCCCTTTCAGAAGCTTCAACCACTTTAGGTCATTTCAGGAATTTCAGGTGGGGACCTGAAACCGCTGAAGTGGCTGAAGCTTCTGAAAGAGGTTTCAGGTACCCCCATCCCACCATTTGTGTATCAACCTGAAGTGGCTGAACTGCATGAGGGCAGTTTCAAACAACCCCATGTATAGATCGACACACAATCTGAAAGTGGTGTAGTAACCTAAAGTGGCTGAATTGCCTGGAAAGGAGACCTGGAAATATATGCACCCGTTAACCATCTCTCGTTGGGGGGGGGGGGGGGGGGGCGGGGGGGGAACGGTCGATTCAGAAGATGTCATAAGCCCATTAACAGATTGCAGGTTGATGGGTCGAGTACTCCAAGCAATGACGGTTGTCGATCTCGCGAGACTCATGGCACTGCCCATTTAGCAACACGTAGCAATTATTGTATTGATTTATTCTTATTTATGTCGCTCCAATATGAATTTCAGCTTTGTTACAAAAAGTGAACAATCAAAAGACTCACTTTTAACGAAATGTGTATTAAAGGTCCGTTCGTCAAAACGAACGGGCACTGACACAGGAAACGAGAAAGGAGGGATCTAAAAGAAAACAATCTTAAACGAATCTATAAAAAATAAAATCTAAAAAAAATCTAATAAAAAAAAAATAAAAAAAAACAATCTTACCTTTCAGAAAAAACGGCAGCCATGAAACGGGCGCCTGCTATCCTTCATGGGACTAAGTCCCTGTCACTTCTCAACGCGCCAACTGACACTTAAATTTTTAGTTATTTATTTTTGAATTTTTTTTTCATTTTTCGATGTACGCGTGTCATCCTTGCGCAGTGACCTCTACAGATCCACAGGGCGAATTTCAACCGCGCGATCTCGAGGATCGCTTGACCAAAATTTGACCATGCTAGGTTTGTTCAGACCCTCAGTGTTGCTCCTCAAAAAGAGTTAACACCAGTAGGGTACTACTAGTTTCGTCCCCTGCATCTGCAGCATGGCAGTCTGATACGTCTACCCACTGGCTAGCTCTTACTACAGTATGAGCAGGGGGTAACTCTTCAATAAGAAGAGTTCCCACCCAGAGGCCACCTGCCCAGAGAGCAGGTTAACCGAGCACCTATTTTTCAGGCTCATTTATAAGAAAACCAGACAGTCATTTTAACAACACTTCACACCAATCTATAGAGTGCACTTCTTACGACCCCATCACAAAAAAAACCCTAAAAAAAACAAGTAAAAACATATAAAACAGCAAGCCAAAGGTGCATTTCCATGAAATTTGGCCAAAAAACAATTCGACCAATTTCAGAAATTTCAGAAATCTTAACCTTTTGTGTATTAGCCCATAGGTAGATTAAGATTAGCTCTAACATGCCATCGTCCGCACTCCGCTATGGCCCCGACAAAAGCGAAACACTTTCGGTTACTGCCATTACTCTTGGACGCAGCAGGCG